CACATACCCTCGTTCACTTGCATGCTCTCCTGCACCCAATGCCTGAAATCAGGTGCAAAAAGCTTTGAATCCTGTCGCCCTAAAAGCTTTCACATGCTCAAGATTGGACATTTTTTAACAACTTTCCCCCCCCCCTTTATATCTTTTCTTTTCCCTTAAAGACATATTCTGGGTTTAATACAAATTTAGTATGATGGCATTTGTGGCAACAACAAAAAAAAAAAAGGCAGAAATGTGAAGGGTTTAACATTACACAGAAAATGTTAGTGAGCGATTACTCATTGAAACATATTTTAACACATTTTTATGAAATGGCCCCATTGTAAGTGTCTCACTGTAACTCAGATTCAATTTCTTTCCATTTCTTTCTAAAAACTCTTTTATCCCTTTCCCCCCCCATCTTCCCCTTGTAAATAAGATTGCTCTTGTAGAGCCAGCTTGATTAAATAAGTTAATTAAAGTAATCATTTCTGGTGCTCGTGGGCCATGATGATTCCTGTCATAGCTTGGTATTTTGAGATCGATATTTGAAAAAGCATCTTGTGTTCCCACTACATCTGAACCAAAATGATATGACAAAAAAGCAAGCTTATCTCTCGTCAGGAGTATATGATTCAGGCCAATGGAGGAAACCTGAGTGCTGTAGAAACCAGAGACCTTAACATTTATAATCTCCAAATCACTGCTCCACTGCATTAAACTAGCAAGAAGCGAGACAGAGGGGAAAACACACCACTGCTGTGGGAGATCAGTGTGAACTTAAATATGTGTGTTCACACTAAATGCCAGCAGATGCTCATGGAACGCAATCAATGAATCCAGTCACTCCGGGATGTTTCTTTGAGCTTGCGGAGCGTATGACGTTGCTTCTCTAGCTCTCTCTTCTCTGTCAAGTTCTGCTATTCCATCGCAATGTCAGAATCTAAGTGCTAGGCTAGTTCTTCTTTTAAAAACAGCCCAGCTTCCGTTTATAGCTGGAGGCAGAGGTCTGTACGGCCCACCAGAGATTTCTGCTTTTGCTGTTTGTTTCAAATGAGTAATTCCGGTTGTTGAAACGTGCAGCAACAACATCCATCTCTTACTCCCTCTATAAACCCACACATTGTTAGTGCTCTCTGTTTTCACAAAATCGTTGTTATGTGCATTTACATTATATATCCATAATGTGGATTTGATCATCTTCATAATAAGCTGAACACAAACAGGGTGCTGATCAATAAACATTGCCTTATCATCACTGGAACATCGTAAAAAGAAATTGGCCTTAAAAATGAGCTTGATTAATGTTTTATGCAACCCAGAGAGACTGTTTCCATCTAGAATTGTTTATCCATGTATATGTTAGCGATAGTATTGGGTCTGTGTACATTCACTGCCAAACCACTCTAATGAACTAAGGTGTCCATCCAGGTCTACAAGCATGCTGAATAAAACATGGGTCGATTCCCTGTGGAAGCCTTGTTTAGCTTTTATGAAGCAGTGAGGTGTGAAGTACAACAGCAAACGGGAAAACACACGGCCTCTGTTCTACCATAATGAAATAATGAAATGCTCACAGACATGAGTATAAAGTGCATCAAATAAAATTTTATGATATTCAAATTGACTGGATCACAGTAAAACTGGGCAGCTGTCTTACTTTTGGCAAGGTCCACAAATCCACATGCCAGGATGGTTGAATTGCTGCAACAAACTCAGAGTGATAATATTTGTTCGAGTGAGAAAAAAGGCCTGAGCTTAAAAGTGGAATTTTATGTATCCCATGATTGACCAACAATTCCTATTTCTTATGGGTTCCTATTTCTTATGGATTTTATGGACAACTCTTTAAAATTTAAAATGCTCTTTAAAAATATTTAAAATTTGAATTGACATGATTTTAAATTATTTTACATGCAGTTTGTGAAGGTTACAATTTTATGTTTAATTTGAGAGATTTCACTTAAATTTACATTTCATTTGTGAGGTTTTACATTATTTTACATTTCATTTAAGAGGTTTACATGATTGTACATGCAATTTTACACGCATTTACATTTCATTTGGGAGTTTACATTTAACTTCATTATTTTAAATTGAATTTTACATTAAAGATTTTACATTATTTAATGTTACATTTGTGCAGTTTAATTCATGTTACATCATGTCATTTGAGAGATTTTTTACATTATTTAACATTTAAATTGAGATGATTTACATTATTTTACTATTAAATTGTGGACAAGGATGCTAATTACTCCTCTTGGTGTACCCACTTGGCAGTATTTATCTACAACACAATTGCATCAGTTATTTGTTAATAGGGATTGCATCTCTAGACAGAGTGAAGCAAAGCAACACACGCCAGCTATCTTGGCAGTTGCTCGCATAATTTTACGCATCTGTTACCTGCCATGTTTAGAAATCGAAGGGGTGTTATGGACTGGTAATAGTGTGTGATCATGTTTAGAGATGTTTACTTTTCATGTCACACCAAATATACTGGTAATGCATGAAAGAAAATGGAAGAGAGAGTCACCTGATAAAAATGGGAGATGGCCCTGAAATAATAATGCCTTAACACCTGTGGAGGAAAAACAAATCGAAATATTCAAAGGTATGCAATCTTGTATATTCAAAAAAGTATTCTTAACATAACGTATTATTCAAAAGGCTTAAATATTAATTTTCAAACTAAAATGGACATTACAGCTCTAACATTTACATTAGAACAAAGGATAGACCCATTAGAATCAACCCTGTTGATTAAAAAAACAAACAGTGAAATTTATGCTTACATCAATAATACATCAACAAATTACATTCCCATCTCACCTTCATTGATGTGGTTCAGTTCCTAATTATCGCAATGACAGGCGGCAGTTTGTCTGCTGCTACTATTACCCAGGGCGTCCCCCAGGGATCTGTCATTGGCCCTCTGTTCTTTCTAAACTACATGATTCCCAATAGACAAATAATGTGACGTCAGTACCGGTTCTAAACTTTCCATCACCCTCATTACTGCATGATTTCATGGCTGAAGCTCTACATGGATTCTTTCTCATGTTTGACATAGAAAAATCAGAAGTCCCATTCGCATATGTTATGCTTCTAAACAACAGCTTGTATACTGATTTTTTTCCCCCACCAAATGTGTCATGCTGAGCATTGTTGGGAAATGATACTTTTAAATGTAACAAATTACAATACTGAGTTAGCCATAAAAAGTAATGATTACCTATGTTTTGAATTTTTCAAAGGGACCATTCACACAGGACATTTGTGTAAGTTTTTAAAATCTGTTGGTTTATGTAAATATGCACTAAACTGCACGCATCTTGTTGTCAGTCTATTAAGACACCATTCCAAGTTCAAACAAAAAACACATCTAAAGAACAATTTTGTGCACCTAAAAGGACTAAAATATATTAGGTAAAATTACTAAAATGTAAATCACTCTAAACAGATAAAAAGCCTAAAAAATTACAGAATCCCCTGAAACCTTCTAGTTTCTTACTAAATATGTTGACCCTAGATGTTTAGAGGGATCTCTTCAGATTGATGATTTTAAAAAGTTTCAATCACTTGTAGTGAATAGCTCTCCTTGGAAATCAGGGCTCAATCAAGCGTGGACAAACTGAGGAAAAAATCCTCTTCATATCACAGTTTGACACCCTTGGCCAGCTGACTCTCCTGGAAACCTGGGTGGAGCCATCGTGGGTCATCTGGATGTAGTACAAGTATATATAATATTCCATGTTCCATCTGCAAATATGTGCTGGATAGATAATATCATTATGCATTTCAACATCTGATTAATACACGTCTTCAGAAAACTGAAGAACACAGACTTTAGTTCTGAGGTTTCATCTGCATTAGTGCTGATCTAAATGGTAGATTTTAGGTTATTTTAACAAAATATATTCCACCATCTCTTAGAGCCTCAGTAAAACTCATCAGTGAACAGAGACTGAGTTGTAGCTACATTAGTTTTTAAGAAAAGTAGACCTCAGGGACATTGCCAATCATTTTTTAAGCGTGTGTTTGTGTTTTATTATTTTAAAACCTCACTGTACATATAGGGATAAATCACCCAAAAATCTGAAACTCATGTCGTTCCTAACCATAGTCTATCACTTTCTTTCTTCTGTGGAACATAAAAGAAGATATTTTGAGAAATATGCTTATTTTGGTCCATAAAATGGAAGTAAATGGTTACCAAATCTGTTTGGTTACCAACGTAGTTTAAAATATCTTTCGTGTCTTTTGGAATGACATGAGGGTGATTAAATGATGACACAATTTTCATTTTTGGGTAAACTATCACTTTAAGTCAAGGATCATCATTAAAATGCTTGAATTTTTTAATAAAAATTAGTGCTTGGCAATGATTAATCGCGATTAATCGCATCCAAAATGAAAGTTTTTGTTTATTTAATATATGTGTGTGTACTGTGTATATTCATTATGTATATATAAAGACACACATACATACATACACACATACATTCATATAATTTATATTATATATAAATATATTTAATATATAAACAACATATTTTTCTTAAATATATACATGCATGTGTGTGTATTTATATATACATAATAAATATACAAAATACACACACATATAGTATGTACACAAAAACGTTTATTTTGGATGAGATTAATTGCGGTTAATCATTGCCCAGCACTAATAAAAATATCAGGGCGGAGCAAGTTGCCACATGTTTTATACAGTAAATGTGTAATTTTTTTAACTTTTCTTTTTTTTCATGTGGTTAAAATATGTGCTGTATCTTTTTAAAAGCATTTATGGTAGAAATATTAGAGAGGTTAAATTTAAATATTCACTGGAGTAAAAAGTGTCTTGCCTCACTACAGTACATCTGGATTTGTTCTGATTTGGCATGTCAATTATGAAAGAAATGTAGTGTCATTTTGAAATGACTAACTGATTGTTTGCTCAATCTCTGCACAGCTTTGTCTGGACTTGTGTCATTTTATGTCACCGAGTCCACATGAACCCCATGGCGCAGCTGTACTACAACAAGGCCCGTAACTCCCCGTACCGCGGTCGCATCCCACTGCAGATCGTGAGGGCGGAGGTTGAGCTATCTGCCAAGGAACGAGCCTACCTGACGGCGGTGGAGAAGGGAGACTATGCTGGAGTTAAACAGGCCCTTGAGGAGGCCGAGATCTATTACAACATCAACGTGAACTGCCTGGACCCATTGGGCCGCAGCGCACTCCTCATCGCTATTGAGAATGAGAACCTGGAGGTGATGGAGCTGCTGTTGAGTCATGGCGTGCACATGGGCGATGCACTCCTCTATGCCATCCGCAAGGAGGTGGTGGGAGCAGTGGAGTTACTGCTATCCCACAAGAAGCCAAGTGGCGAGAAACAGGTGCGTGAGGGCGTGACTTCCTTCAGAGGGAGAGTCACATCTAACTTTTCTGATTGGATAGCATGTAGCTGTACTGATATGACAGTGCATTTAAGTCCTCCTGGCAGGTTCGTATTTATGAGTTGGGAAGTCGTAATTATGACATGAAGTTGTATGGTTATTATTATTCAATTTATGGTGTTGTAAATGGAATGGAATTAAAGTGAATTAAATTATTATTATTGTTATTACTATTGTTATGTTCATTTACACTGTACATCTACCGTAATTTTACTATATTATTGTATTTTGTACATGCAACTTAGTTGTATAGTTGTAAAATTTTCAACTATACAAGTTGCATGTACAAAATATGATATAGTAAAACTTGTTATCTCGTTGGTATCTCGTAATCACGGTAATTACGATATGGCGTGAACGCACTTAAAGTGTCAAGTTTCCTACTCGTAAATTATGATGTTGTGGTGGAGTTCATGTGCATTCAACTTCATGTGCGTAAATATTTCCATCATGAACTCACCAACACTGTTTAAACTATTTTAATCGCTCTTCATTTTGATGAACCAGTATTGATTCTTAAAACCCATGAATTCATGCATGAACACAACGTCACTGAACATTGTTAATGTGCCTCTCTTTTACCAATCGCAAGGAACTTTATCACGAAATTAAAACAATAAATGTCGTTTTGGCGCTGTTAAATGTCCCACCTCAGTGCAAGCGGGTGCATGGAACGCATGCCAACTGACATGAACATGAATGAACATCAGAAGGTATGCTGAAAGAAACAGTACAACTTACTGAAATGTCTCCGTTTCATGTAATCTCTCAATCAGTGTTTCATCCACAAAAAGACGTAAATGAAACAGTTTAGTAAACAATGTCGGGTAGGCCATCCGTTATTTTACAAATTAAACCATCCAAGCTAGTTAGTCAACTAGAAAAAATTACCCCAGAAGGATCATTATATTTTTACTTAACTTAGCGATGTCTCATTTATTTGAATAAATCTGTGTAACAACAAACCTCCGTTTAACTATTTCCACCGTTTTATATTTCAGTAGAAACATAATTATATAATTAAAAAGTTTATATAAAACTGCATTATGTGCAATATAAATGTTTGTATTTAACCTTTTGAGTGGTGATTATTATATCTAAATTAAATAGCATTTGAATTTGTGTGCATTAGTTGAGAGATTGTTTTTGGGCATGAGTTCAGATATTGATTGTTTTCAATAGGCTGACTGACATGTACCTGATATCCAAACGAATCAATACTGAATCAAAATTGCACATGAATTGAATCAAGAGCTTGCAAATTTGTGAAATCTGCGTCAATATCCAGTCCTATTGCAGAGTTTCATCCCTTGCTGCAATTTTCTATTTATTTTTTTCTTTTCTTGTGCTGGAAGTTCTGGACAGCACAGATTGAAATCATTTTGCATTCTTTATTTTCCCACAGCTTTTCGCACCATGGAAGTGTGAGGTGCCTTTAGGAAACACCTCTGAATTCAATCACTGGCCTTTTTTAAGCAAAAGGTATAGATATCAGGGTGGCTCATTTCATATCTGAAGCGGCTCATAAAATGCCTCAAAGGTATCAGTTTTTCCTTGATCTTTTGAGATCAAAAAACTTGATGTACTATGAACACGCAATGTAACATTCAGAACTCAAAATTTTCACTCCAGTCCAAAAAGAGTAGGCTATTCATCAAAACAACTCATTCGTCCTTAACTTTGTGAAATGTATTCATCAGCATGTCTGTCTATATTTACATGTATGATTGGTGGAGTAAAATCAGCTCAAAATTCGGATTTTATTTCTAATATGAAGTACTTAGTTTTGCTTTAATGCACCCAAAGAGAATAATCCTATACGAAATGGGGTGATGGCATAAGAGGCTCTGTGTATTGTCAAATATGCCAAGGTCAAGTGTCCATAAAAAAGATTACAGTACAGTAAAAACGGATGACAATTTAGATTTTGTTAGAGCCGTAACCATAGAATGAAGCCCATTTTAATGCACCCTTAAAGGGAGGCGAAATGGGCTGATGGCGCAATAAGCGGATCTCAAGGGTCGAGGATCCTTAAGGTCTCTAATCATTTTAAAAGGCCAGTTCACACTGCACCGACAGACACCGACAAATGGCAACAGACACATTCATTGTTTTGTTTTTTTGATCAGTGTCTGTTGGATGGCGATTGTGTTCATCTTTAATATTATGCACAGTACAATGGACTGAACTGTAAAGATTGACAACTTCCTTATTAGCGTACTTTTACTTTTATTTATTGCTCTCTTTATTTCACTCTTCTAGGTTCCTTCTCACATGATGGACACACAGTTTTCGGAGTTTACACCCGATATCACACCAATCATGTTGGCTGCCCACACTAACAACTACGAGATAATCAAGCTCCTAGTTCAACGAAAAGTCACCATCCCACGGCCACACCAGATCCGCTGTGACTGCGTGGAGTGTGTATCGAGCTCCGAAGTGGACAGCCTTCGGCACTCCCGTTCACGTCTAAACATCTACAAAACTCTTGCCAGCCCCTCCCTCATTGCCCTTTCCAGCGAAGATCCCATCCTCACTGCGTTCAGGCTGGGCTGGGAGCTGAAGGAGCTCAGTAAGGTGGAGAACGAGTTCCGGCAGGAGTATGAGGAGCTGTCGCAGCAGTGCAAACTTTTTGCTAAAGACTTGCTGGATCAGGCCCGTAGCTCCTGTGAGCTGGAGACAGCACGCCTCTTGAGATCAGGGGAGTGAGGTTTACCTGCACAGCACCTACTGCTGGCCTCCGTTACACTCATCCCCCTAATCCTCACTCCCATCTGGGTCACGGCACCAAATGTGACCTTCCCGGGTCCTTACCGCCACATCTCGTTCTTGTTCCGAGTGGGTCTCGAACCCGGGTCTCCAGCATGGGAGGCGGGCGCACTAACAAGGAGGCTAAAGACTGCAGCCACTAGCGCGCCTCTTGAGATTACCTACACAGCACCTACTGCTGGCCTTAAATTGCACAAAAAAGTAACTTTTCCATGACTATAAAAACCCAGAGTCAGCATTGGTCCAAAGGAAAAGTTCAAATCTATGAATTCAAAAGTTTCCATGATGAAAAAGTTAAATTTTAGTAGTGTTTCCAAGGTAGAAGACAACAGTGCACAATGTCTCCATTAATTCATGTAACTAATTTAATGTTTATTATATAAATCAGGGCTGCCCAAACTCGGTCCTGGAGGGCCGGTGTCCTGAAGAGGCAAGTTGGAGCTAAATGAAATGTGCTACTTTACCAAATCATGATTAATCAACAATTATTGATCAAAACAACAACAACAATACTACTACTACTACTACTACTACTAATTATTATTATTGTAACCAATTAATGTTTCAGAAATCATATTTCATTATGAGTGCATATCAATTGGCAGATTTTTTTATTTTTATTGTTTTTATTTTTGTTACATCCAGAAAACAAGTGATCCTTTACAACCCTAATCATTTGGATTTGGGGCGGTGTGGTATTTCGGTTAATTATCTTGTTAGGTAACTAAAAGGTTGTAGGTTTGAATCCAAGGTGTCAAGGGTTTGGTGTTTGTTTGTTTTTTCCTGGTGGAAACCCCTGCTGATAGATGCTTTAACTACAATTATACTACCAAAAAGGCATCTTTCTCACAAGTATTTCATTATATTAGATGCTTTTTTTTAATCATATTTGAAAGTGAAGTGTGTGGATTTTTATTTGTTCAATTATTTATTTTATTTTATTTGTATTTATTTATTATTATTATTTTATTTTTTTGCTCACAGCTTATGATAGTCTCCAGTGCATGGATGTGTAAGTTAACCTTAAGCTTGAAAACTTTACTATTATCATCAAAAACAGGGATTGGTTTAGTCATAGTGCAAGCATGTGCTTGTGGCATTTTATAAGCAGCTTATGAAATAAATCTAAATTAAAATGCAGTGTTTTAAACAATCTTAATGTCGGTTAAGTGTGTCTACCGCTAACCTTTTGTCTTGTCCTCTGGCATCAAATTAAGTTTCACTACATGATGTTGCCTTAATAAGTGTATCATATTTTGGCTGCGTATCAAATGCAGTGGGAATCATGTTAAGTCCTCCTCATGCAATCATTTTATTGATTTTGAGGAAGTCCTTGTTTTTTTTCTCCTCCTTTTTCATCAGCTCTCTTGCTGATAAATTAGTAAAATATTAAAACAGAAATGAAAGACAAAAATTTTATGAATTAAAAAAAATAAAAATATGAAAAATTAAATGACTAAACCAGGACCTTAAAAAACTTTTCTTAAAGTAAATCAGAATGTTTCTTATTTCCCTAGAAATGTTATCTTGAGATGAAGGGCTTTCATAAGAACTGTTGTTTTCTATTGCTGATGGAATCATTGCAAAATGTTTTCATGAGAGGTCACAGTTCAAGTTGCCACTGCATTTTGAATCATTCGTCTGTTTAATAGGAGTCCACAGCAGAAATGACTCCTTTCATAAAACATAATAACATTGCAGAGCAATGTAGGTCAGGCAGCAAGAGAAAAATATGATTTGAGAAACATTATTTATACAATTATTATGGACAGGCACATCAATTTACACCTGCATTGTGTAAAATGGAGCCATTTCTGGGTGTTTGAGGGTTTTTTTTCTGCAGTGCTAAAATATAAGCCTCATTTTGTGAGAACATGAAGAGTTGGGGTGGTGTGGCATAATGGACTGGGAGATGAAAGTTTGCAGGTTTAAACCTCACAAGGGTTGATTTGTGAATCATCAACACTGGGCTCTTGAGCAATTCATTCTAGGTTACTCCAAGGCAATAGATCCTGCAATACGTGTAATGTAATTTTTAGATAAATGTTTTCCAGTGATAAAAGTAAAACTAAATGACTTCTTACTCAAAGTCTGACAGTTTGATTTAATAACTGATTTCACCTCAGATGCCCGTGGGAAAAGTATTACGTAATGACATGAATGTCAAACCTCACTGGTGTTCACTCACTTAAAAACCTTTTCACCATTTATGCTGTTGCCTAACATTTGTTGTTTTTTGTCATATGTGCACTTGGCTGCTTTTTTTAGGATGACTGATAGATAGTAGTTAAAAAAAAAAGCATTAAGTTAATATATGAGTACATGTCACAAAGAATGGCCAAAGTGTCTTACAATGGAGAAACGTAAACTTCGTCACAGATCCAAAGCAAAGCAAAACAAAACAAAACAAAACAAAACAAAACAATACAATACAATACAATACAATACAATACAAAAAACAAAACAATACAATACAATACAATACAATACAACACAAGACAAGACAAGACAAAACAAACAGCAACTTACAATGGAGGAACAAAAACACTCACAAAATTTTTACAAATTTACTAACTTTTTTGTTTTTATTTATTTGTTTGTTTTTGCATTACATTTGTATAATAATCTATGAGTGATTTAATAGCACAATACAAATAATCCTATTATTCATTTGAATTTTTTAAGACGTTTCTTAGTAGTTTTTTTGTGAGATTCCCCCTTATTCAATTTTCACATACATTGATATTATTATCAATCATATACGAAGTTACCAAGAATATGTATAAAACATCTGTATAATATTAACATCTATATATCACCATGAAACCAATTCTCATAAAAGTTTTGTTTCGCCTCTATATTTAATGTTTCTTTTTAAAGTGTGACATTCTAAATACGAAAATAATTTTTTTTGTGTGTATCACAGTGCTCATGAAAAGTAAATAGACAATATATTGACAACAACTTATAAAAACTAATCTGTTTTTACTAATGCATAAAATGACATGATACATGCATAATACTCTGCTAACAACAGTTTAGTATTAACAGCTCTCGAAAAATGAGTCGTCAAATCTTTAGAAATATATGTTGGATGTTTTGTCTTTTATGATTAGTCCCACGTTTCTTAGTAGTTTTTTTGTGAGATTCCCCCTTATTCAATTTTCACATACATTGATATTATTATCAATCATATACGAAGTTACCAAGAATATGTATAAAACATCTGTATAATATTAACATCTATATAACACCGTGAAACCAATTCTCATAAAAGTTTTGTTTCGCCTCTATATTTAATGTTTATTTTTAAAGTGTGACATTCTAAATACGAAAATAAAATTTTTTTTGTGTATCACAGTGCTCATGAAAAGTAAATAGACAATATATTGACAACAACTTATAAAAACTAATCTGTTTTTACTAATGCATAAAATGACATGATACATGCATAATACTCTGCTAACAACAGTTTAGTATTAACAGCTCTCGAAAAATGAGTCGTCAAATCTTTAGAAATATATGTTGGATGTTTTGTCTTTTATGATTAGTCCCACGACGTTCTGGAATGTTCCAGAAAGCACTAGAATATTACAGAATATTAAAGTTCCCATCCATGCAAAAACAAAATATCTTTAAAAAAATAAAAAAATAAAACATGGACAATTAGTACAAAACTTACTAAACCAGTGTTCCATAATTTATGATAGAAGTTCTCAAATTTACCTGACCTAAATATTTACTAAAAGTATTGATATGACATGAAAATAAATAGTATAATAATAATTAGCACCACAGAATTACAGAAGAACCATAAGTGAAACAAATTTTTGTTACATCTTGTCAGAACATTTCATGCTTAAATGTCAGGCAGTTAAAATATTATGCCTGTTACTGAATACTGTCTTTATCTGTATTTGTCATGAATTTCACTGGCTTATTAGATCATTCAACTATTATTATATTCTCACAGTTTGTAGCTCAGCCCAACTGCCAGCAGCTCCTGGCAACACTGTGGTACGATGGGTTCCCAGGTTGGAGACGACGTCACTGGGCAGTGAAGCTTGTCACTTGCTTCATCATTGGTCTGCTCTTCCCTGTCTTCTCCCTCATATACCTTCTGGCTCCAAAGAGCACCCTGGGAACCTTCATCAAGAAACCTTTCATCAAGTTCATCTGCCACACTGCCTCCTACATGACCTTCCTCTTCCTCCTCCTCCTCGCCTCACAGCATATCGTGCAAACTGATCTGCATGTACAGGGACCTCCACCCACCATTGTGGAGTGGATGATCTTACCCTGGGTTCTAGGTAAGACTTCTTTGGGACATTTGAGTGCAATAGATAACATTCATCCAGTTTGCTGTATAGTATATTAAAGGATATATAATATACTTTTAATTTGATTTTTTAAAGTACATCTTTAGCACAAGCAGTATTATAATTGTACTTCTTTTGCACATATGTACCTTTTTAAACTTTTTTTTCAAAGTCTTTTTTCATTGCTTAGAACACTTTAATGCAGAATTTTTAAAATCCCTATTTAGAAAATTATTAGGAAAAGTAAAGTGGGCGGACACTGTTATGCTGGAATCCAAAGTGTGAAAATCTAGTCTCAAATCTCCATTTAGCTCAAATAATGAAGAAATGCTGATCTGTAACATTCACTTAGCTGGCTCATTTCTCAAGCAGTAAAACTGGTGGCCTGCACAGGAAATAGATACGGCTATGGTTTTATCCCTCTCATGAAGTAAATGAATACTCATGAATTATTGATATCATAATTTATTGACCTCAAGACAAAAGCAGAGGAAATCATATCTCGAGTCCCAGTTCAGGATTGATTACACCAGGGCTCAATCATAATGGTTTGAGGTTTTCTCTCAAAGCACACACAAGTCCAGAAGTAGACACAAGTGGAGGCTTGAAACAAATGATCTGAAGTCTGGAGGACAGGTGCAATCAGCGAGAATGGAGTTTACTTTATTTCTGAGCACTAGGCAGTAGAGCAATGAAAATGTATATATGTCAGCCTAACAGCATTTGTTTGTTTTCTGTTTTGTTTATTTCAATTAATTAATTTTGGGGACATGTTACAGAGGCCCTGAGGGGCAGGGTGAGACAATTTAGTTTTTAAGTACATGTTTTCCAGTATTATTTTTTTTGTCTTTTGATTAAAAATAAATAAATAAATAAACAAAAAATAAAATAAACAAATAAAATAAAAATATATAAATTAAATAAAAAACAAACAAAAAAACTAAATCCAAGGGGCAAATGTTTATTCTTATTTATTTATTTATTTATTTTGCCTTTTGATCTTAACGAAAAATAAAAATGAACAAAAAATAAAAGAAAATTAATAAATAAAAGAACATTTAAAAAATGTAAATTAAATTAAATTAAACAAACAAAAAATGAATCCAAATGGCAAATGTTTATTCTTATACACTGGCAGAACTGGGGAAAAAATACAGAAAAAAAAAAAAAAGAATAACTTTAATTTAGTAACTAAAATATTTTTATAATTTTGCCTTAAAGGGCTTATGTAGTGAAAGTGGAGGACCTGCACTTTTTGTACTGTTTTGCCGTTATTGTAATGTTTTGTTTTTAATTTTTTTAATTTTGGCCCTTGCAGGCTTCATCTGGGCGGAGATTAAAGAGATGTGGGATGGCGGTTTCACAGAGTACGTCCATGACTGGTGGAACCTGATGGATTTTGCAATGAACTCTCTCTACCTGGCTACTATATCTCTTAAAATGGTGGCCTACTTTAAGGTTTATACCAGCATTTTAATGCAAGCTGCAGTATTACAGAAACTATTACAGTAAATAATTTCAGCTTGTAGTAGGAACTAGAACTGTCTCCATTTATCTCTCATATCTTCTCTCTCCATCAGTACAACAGCTCTCGTCCTCGTGTGGAGTGGGAGATGTGGCACCCTACGCTCATCGCCGAGGCTCTATTCGCCATCGCCAACATCTTCAGCTCGCTGCGTCTCATCTCTCTGTTCACCGCCAACTCTCACTTGGGCCCACTGCAGATCTCTCTCGGCCGCATGCTGCTGGACATCCTCAAGTTCCTTTTCATCTACTGTCTGGTGCTGCTGGCTTTCGCCAACGGCCTCAACCAGCTCTACTTCTACTATGAAACGAAGGCGTCCGAAGAGCCCAACCACTGCAAAGGGATCCGTTGTGAGAAGCAGAACAATGCCTTCTCTACGTGAGTGAAACACATTGTAAAGCTCTTTAGTCGAATGTCAAGACTAAAAAGAAGCATACTTTAGCATACTTTTAAAGAAGCTATATGTAGAATTCATAAAGTTTTGTTATTAGCGACACCGGTGGCCGTTAAGTGAACTGCAGCCAGCAACTTATTTGCTCCTTTGCAGCGATATACGCTGTTGACACTGCTGAGAGCGATGACTATGTAAAGATGAATATGTAAATATGTGACCCTGGACCACAAAACCAGTCATAAGTCACACGGGTGACTTTTTCACATAAAGCTTTGTTATTAGCAACAACGGTGGCCGTTAAGTGAACTGCAGCCAGCAACTTATTTGCTCCGTTGCAGCGATTTGTGTCTGCTTTACAATGAAACACAAGCTTATAGCGACCGATTCCCTGACATAACACATTCATTGCGACCCATTTAACGGATGCATCATTTTGCATCAAGTTAGAACATCTTGAACAGCAAAAAACAATAACAATACAGCGAAATAATCAACTGACTTTGACCATCTAGCCCACTATTTTTTTTTTACTCCCCTTTAGAACAACCAAATCAAGCCCAGATTTTTGTGTGTGTTTAGATAGATTATTTAGGAAAAGTCACAGAATCTCATTCCACTGAGATGAAGGGAACACTTCTTAAAAACTAAGGAAAATTCAAATGGGGTCAGCTGGACCCCAAGGAGACATTAAAGGTAGGGTATGTAATTTTTCAAAAACACTTTAGAAAACAATGGTCCTATCCTAACAAACCAAAGGCTACATCAATGGAAAGCTTATTTATTTAGCTTTCAGATGACATATAAATCTCAATTTCAAAAAATTGACCCTTATGACTGATTTTGTGGCCCAGTGTCACATATGTGCTGCATGCTTCCCTCTCAATAACAAAATAAACACAAAAAAACGACAGCAGTGAGAAAACAGCAGTTAAGAAAGCATCTGATCACAGCAATGTGGATATGTTTACATCAGCTCTGCAATTCACCACCATCATGTTGACAGATGAGGTATTTACAATTACATTGTTATGATAGCTTGATTATAAAGTGTATTTGAGACTATAGACTATGTAGATTTGGCTCTGTGAGACTATAGTACAGAGACTACTGTATATTCCATATACAGTTTTAAGCTTGAAGTACACTACAAGTGCACCTTCAATACAATAAGTGTACTTCATTTCCATACATTGAAAAAAGATGGTGACCAGTGGCTGTCACAATACAAAATTGACGGTACAAAATAACAAAATCAGCCTGGCCATTGTTTTTTTCAGAGGAATGTCTAATTAAAGCAGTCCAACTTGAGAACTAAATTCCAAGTTTTCTGAAGCCAAGATAAATTTGTTTCTAGACGGAATGGGGCTCGCTAAAAACAGTGTTAACTACATTAAAGTAGTTGTCTTAGCTGGTTTAAGCTGATCTAGTTGATATCTGAGCCTGACCTGAACCTGAGGTTGGTTGGACTGGTCTGTTGACTGGTTTTAGAAAGGTGTTGGTCACTTTTTAGCTAGTCAGTCTGGGAGGTCTGGCTAAACTAGCTGAGCACCAGCAGAATTAGGCTCAGAGACCATCGTATACCAGCCAAGACCAGCAAATCAGCTTAGCTTTTTTGGCTTGAACATCCTTTTTGTTCTCCTAGAGTCAGACGTAAAAAAACGTCCTGTGTGTTGAGGACATCAGACATTAGATGATAATGACAGCTCAACAGTTGAGCTCCCTGCTTGGCTTTGCAGTAACAGAGGTCTTATAGCTTTGCTAATAATCAGAATAAATGAACTGTGATGCACATATTACAAAACCCACACAGACACTTCAGTCAACTTGATCAATGAATATAATGTGGCCAAGATGCCACATGCAGCTTAATGCTGACTTCCTGCAGAGGTCAAAATGAGAAAGAAATGAGAACGGAAACAAGAGTGGAAATGGTTATGATCTTCCTGAATTTTCACATCATAGCATGAGCCTTGCAGAATCATTTGATCTCAGAGGACGAAGACAAAATTATAGAGCAGCGCGTCATCCATCAACTGTTGTGTGCAATGACGAGAATATGTTGCTCAAGGCTGTGCAGTAATAATGTGTTCAGAAATGGGAAGAGATTTCAATGATACCAATATATTTTAAAACTACTCCTGAGAAGGCAAATATTTGGTTTGATTCCAAGTAAAAACAGTCAAGAAAAGCATCCTCCACTTTTTCTTTCCCGTTTCAGTGTATAATAGGAGGTTGCATTTTAATTGAATTGGCCACTCCCTATATGAAATCTATCTATCTATCTATCTATCTATCCGTCCATCCATCCATCTATCCTGTCTGTCTGTCTGTCTACCATTCTATGTTTCCATACATCCTTCCATCCATTTTAAAAGTTTTTTTAACTTTCCTTTAAAACATTCAAACAAGGGTTTGCTAAGTTTGTCTTGAGAAACTTTGCATTTGTAGTTAAAGTTAGTTATAATAATTATTTATGTTTTTTCTTAAAGAGATACTTCACCCAAAAATGAAAATGCTGTCATTAATTACTCACCCTCCTGTCGTTCCAAACCCGTAAGACCTTCGTTCATCTTCGGAAAACAAATTAAGATATTTTTGATGAAATCCGAGAGCTTTCTGACCCTGCGTAGACAGCAAGAGAACTACCACGGTCAAGGCCCAGAAAGGTAGTAAGGTCATCGTTAAAATAGTCCATGCCTTCAAACTTTAAGCTGCGAGAATACTTTTTGTGTGCAAAGAAAACAAAAATAACGACTTGATTCAACAATTTCTTTTCTTCCATGTCAGTCTCCGCTGCACATTCCCGAGAGTATCACGACACATGCGTGTGGTGCTGCTGAAGCAGAGTAATTAACGACAGAATTTTCCTTTTTGGGTGAACTATCCCTTTAATTGTACTGTCTTAAAGGGTTAGTTCACCCAAAAATGAACATTAGGCTGTTTTACTCACCCTCAAGTCATCCTAGGTGTATATGACTTTCTTCTTTCAGACGAATCCAGTCGGAGTTATATTAAAAATAGTCTTTGATCTTTCAATCTGTTTAATGCCACTCAGCAGGTGTTGCATGCATCCGTCCAAAAGCAGTATTTTCACATCATAGCATGAGCCTTGCAGAATCATTTGATCTCAGAGGACGAAGACAAAATTATAGAGCAGCGCGTCATCCATCAACTGTTGTGTGCAATGACGAGAATCTGTTGCTCAAGGCTGTGCAGTAATAATGTGTTCAGAAATGGGAAGAGATTTCAATGATACCAATATATTTTAAAACTACTCCTGAGAAGGCAAATATTTGGTTTGATTCCAAGTAAAAACAGTCAAGAAAAGCATCCTCCACTTTTTCTTTCCCGTTTCAGTGTATAATAGGAGGTTGCATTTTAATTGAATTGGCCACTCCCTATATGAAATCTATCTATCTATCTATCTATCTATCCGTCCATCCATCCATCTATCCTGTCTGTCTGTCTGTCTACCATTCTATGTTTCCATACATCCTTCCATCCATTTTAAAAGTTTTTTTAACTTTCCTTTAAAACATTCAAACAAGGGTTTGCTAAGTTTGTCTTGAGAAACTTTGCATTTGTAGTTAAAGTTAGTTATAATAATTATTTATGTTTTTTCTTAAAGAGATACTTCACCCAAAAATGAAAATGCTGTCATTAATTACTCACCCTCCTGTCGTTCCAAACCCGTAAGACCTTCGTTCATCTTCGGAAAACAAATTAAGATATTTTTGATGAAATCCGAGAGCTTTCTGACCCTGCGTAGACAGCAAGAGAACTACCACGGTCAAGGCCCAGAAAGGTAGTAAGGTCATCGTTAAAATAGTCCATGCCTTCAAACTTTAAGCTGCGAGAATACTTTTTGTGTGCAAAGAAAACAAAAATAACGACTTGATTCAACAATTTCTTTTCTTCCATGTCAGTCTCCGCTGCACATTCCCGAGAGTATCACGACACATGCGTGTGGTGCTGCTGAAGCAGAGTAATTAACGACAGAATTTTCCTTTTTGGGTGAACTATCCCTTTAATTGTACTGTCTTAAAGGGTTAGTTCACCCAAAAATGAACATTAGGCTGTGTTTTACTCACCCTCAAGTCATCCTAGGTGTATATGACTTTCTTCTTTCAGACGAATCCAGTCGGAGTTATATTAAAAATAGTCTTTGATCTTTCAATCTAAACCAACGTTTGTTTACAGGATCAAAGAAAGCAAAGTTTCCTTACTTTAGCAAAGTAAAACCAGTCTCCTCTTGGCTTATATCGAAATCCTCTGACATTCTTCTTTACAAATCCTCGTTTTGTACTTCTAATTAGTGACCGTTGTTTTGTTTTGATCTCTCCGCTGCGTTTCCGTGTTCATCACTTCTGAGCGGCGCAAAGCTGACCTCATACGTCATCCGCCCGGAGCTGCTTCCGTGTACAACAGTGAGCACAAGCTAGATTAAAGTGATTATTACGTTTTGAATTTGGATATTTTTCTTACAAAAACGCATCGATTCGCTACAGGAGGCCTTTGTTATGTTTGTCTCTGCTAATTAAACTGGGATAGTAAATTAGTAAAAAGTTGATGCTTTCAGTTTGTGTGTTTCCTTCTTGGCTATATTTGATAAAAACAGTATGTCATTGCTGATAATAGTGCAGGCTTAAACCCATTCAAATTCAGTGCCCAATTCAATTCTAACTTTCCCTTATTATACACAATATGTGTGTTTGGGAGAAACTCGACATGACAATTCTTGCTTTGCCTCTTTCTTTATTTCCCTCTCTCTCTTTGACTTCTCAGACTGTTTGAAACTCTTCAGTCTCTCTTCTGGTCTGTGTTTGGGCTGCTGAATCTGTATGTTACCAATGTGAAGGCTCGTCATGAGTTTACCGAGTTTGTGGGGGCCACCATGTTCGGCACTTACAATGTCATCTCACTGGTGGTGCTGCTGAACATGCTCATCGCTATGATGAACAACTCTTACCAACTCATTGCTGTAAGTGCCATCTGATACTGATGATTTAAAAAAAATATATATATATATGGTGTAAGGTTTACACTACTTTGACCTGAATCATTTGGTATTGAAAGTAAGTTTGAGAGCGGTAGAGCAAATAAGGGCCAGATTTACTAACGGTTTGCACCAGCTCAAACCCTCTTTTGGCGTTAAAAAGCTACTGTCAGGATTTACTAAAGACATGCAGTGAAAAATTTGCCATGAAAAGGCATGGCCACAGTCATTTTTGCAGCTGACCTTATTGCAAATGCATTTGTAGGAGTTTCCATTTCAGACACAAAATTTATGGGAGGAGAGTATTTTAATGAATCACGCAGCAAGATTTACTAATGTTTGCACTAGTCAATTTACTGGTATTTTTGCCATTATTTACTGCCCCAAAAAAGATACGTCTTAAACTAGATGCTAATTTGGGCTGCTCTTGGTAGATTGTGTTGGTTATTATGGAAATGCACTTTTATGGGATTGCGCTCTCACACTTATTTGCCCTGTTTAGTAAATCTTAATGTCTAAAATCAGTTGTAATCATGTGGTCAAAAAAGGGCCAAATCCACTAAAATTTTAATTTGCAAAACATTTTTCAGTGTAAATTGCAATGAACCGATCTGCTTTAACCAGAGGCTAAATGATTTGCTGTTTTAGCTGGATTAATCTGGTTTTAATCTGGTCTCCTAGCCTTGCCAAGATGGTATTTAGCAAGTTTAGTTGGGTGACCAGTCGAAAAGTGGCTAAAAGACAGTCTGACCAGGCTAGGTGACTAAATAAAACTTTAAAAAATGAGGAACATAATAATGTGCATTTTTGATTGAAGACTAACTGCCATTTGTATTGTATTTGTGCAATTAACACTTTTACCATCTGGGTCAATGGAAAATAAGAGTGTCCTTGACCAAAAGCTATACTTAAAAACACGTGTGCCAAGCTTTAGTATTCTTAGTACTCTTTGAATTCATGTGGATATGGCTTTGAAAAACTTTAGCATTTTCCAAATGACTAAAAATGTCATGTGGTGTAACCATCAACTAAAACATGCAGAAAAGCTTTTAAATATATTTCTCAGATTTTCATTGTTTATTTATATTTTTAAATCAGTTTTGGAAAGTTGCACCACATGACATTTTTAATCCTGTACATATGTCTTGGTATAAAAAGGTCTTGCTGACCTCTGACAATCATGAAGGTCTTTAGGGGCCCAGTCTATGATATAATGGCCTGATGTATGTTTCTACATATTTTATCAACATGACTTCACCTCAAAATGTTTAATATCCTTAAATTACACAGTGGTTTTTTGTATGTATTCTGAACATTAAAGCCATTAGTGTCTTACAAACAAACCATCATATTTCTTCAGTTTTGTTACAGTCAGATGGGCTCTTATCTATGCATTTTTCAGGATATTAGTTTTGGGCTTATATAAGCTACATTTAGAGGCATTTTCACCCCTGCATGTGTCTCACAATGGGAACCGTTATTCAAGTAAACACAATTCTGAGTAAACGCATATCATCCAATGACAAGAGGATTTTTGCAGCAACAAAAGCCAGTCTGGGACACTGTCCCAATTGGCAGTTTCAGCACTCTCCTCCGTCCAACTGGCTGTCTGTTTCTCTGTTGTAGGATCACGCGGACATCGAGTGGAAATTTGCTCGTACCAAGCTGTGGATGAGCTACTTTGATGAAGGAGGGACATTACCACCACCCTTCAACATCATACCTAGTCCGAAGTCTGTGTGGTACCTGTGTATGTGGCTGCACTGCCGTCTGTGTGGACATGGAGAGCCTAGACATGAGGAGTGTAAACACGAAAACCTCAAAGAGTTCACGGTAATGCACTGCGCGCTTTCATTGTGTATGCAGCGTGGGTGGCACATTATAGCTTTCACTCAATAAATTTAACACAGTCCTTGACAATGCAAAAAAAACAGCATAATTGTCATTATAAACAGTGATTTTTGAAGAATCACTAGAATTAGGGAAGGCAAGCTACTCATCATTATTGCTCATACTTTGTTAACTCTGTATTCCGAGTATTATATTGTGCACATGATTTATATTTCAAAGCATGCGGTTTATTGAGGAAAGTTTTGCTAATCTTTTTCTAAAAAAATCAGATTTTAGCCCAGTGGATGATTAAATAGGCAAAAACAAAAAAGAGACAAGGGACCAAGCCATATCTACAAACCTTGAATATACTGTAGCTATTTCAACTTCAGCCAGTAAGCAACCATTCAGAACACCATTGCAACCACCCTGGAGTTCCTTTAAGGCAAGACAGTTCACATGGCAGCCATATTCATAATGCTCTGGGGTGGCTATTTCTACTCATGCAAGAGGAGATATATTATAGTGAAAGACGACCAAAATCTGGTCAAAAAAGTTTTTCCCATTAACAAACATTAACTAAAACATATTTAAAATCAGAAATATAATCTATTTCAAAACAACTATTTCATCATAATTAGTGCTTCTTTGGCCCATATCACTCAAAAAATAAAAAAAAAATAAAAAAAAATCATGAACTAATTCTAGACTATACAAACAGTTATTTAAAACTAAAACCATAAACATTTTTGTTTCTAAAAATAAACCTTAAGTGAAATAAAATGAGTTTATAGTTTATAGTGCTTTACAAAAAAAAAAAA